TGTAATAAAACAACTTCCCAGACTTTTAGAAATATGATATACACATGGTGTATCGTTAGATAATATTTCTATCCATATATATATCCTTACTAGTTTTGGGAGCTATTGAAAAGTCAAATATTCCTAATATTATTCGATTTAACCTAAAACTATATTCATTTGGGAATTATTTCATCTATTTTCCTCTGAATGTGTGAATGCTTAACATAATCTTCAATAAACCTTAAAGTTCTTTCCATCATACAGTCTAAATAGTAAACAATAAGCTATTCTAAAAAAGAACCTTGAAATTTCTACTATAATAGAAGTAAATGGATATTATCTGTATATCTGTATACTGTTATGTTAGATAATGCTGTTTGAAATTTTAAAAAAAGCCTTCTGAACAATCTGTCAGGTAGCAATTACGAAGAACTACTTAGCTTGCTCTATGAACACAACCCTGCAATTTCTAGATTGAAACCGTGCTGTTAACCAATAGTAATTTTATACGCAACAAAACATTTTTATTTGTTAAGGTTTCTATTCCCTAAATTATGCATATGACAAACAAACATCAATTTAGGCCTCTACTTATTGTCTCCGCCCACTTGTTTTCTCCATTTACACATAAAACCTGCATGAACTAATGTAAATCCTCCTATTATTATGACTCATTATGTAAAACTTGCCAAGAAGACTGGATAGGAGACGGTTAGTACGAAAATATTGTTGATTAACTTAACCAATTGAAGCTAGACCACCATGGAAAACCTGAAAGCACTGGACAGCCGTTTCGTCCTATTGTAAAACCCCTCGGCCGTGCGCATCCACGATCCCGTCCCCCACGAGATTCAAACCCTGGACCTATCAGTGTCGCACGCGAGCGCTTAACCACTAGACCACTGAGCCTTCAGTCGACTCATGATCTCAACCATTCAAATTACTATAATATCCACAAAAACCCTTCTGATATAAATTAACCAAGTGACTTGATTAACCTCGCTCAAAGAGTGAATTCCTACATTTAGATAAAGTCCTTAAAATATGGTCAAAAGATGTAAATTTTTTAGGCCTAACTAGACAAAAGTGTATTTAACCACTCTAAAATACCTCCCTGTAAATAAATTCACAATTTATATAGCTTCCCCTTTCCACACATCCCAAGTAATTTCGATTATCTTCTTACAAACCTTCTACAAATATTTGTAATCTCATGAGGGGAGTTTCAACCAACTAAATATCAGGTAATAACAAATGATGACGGAAAAGAAAAGCTAAAAATGATACCATATTTTAATCAAATTCTAAATCCATCTATCAGCATCAGACTATAAAGAATAAGCTTTTAATTTTCGTAAACATAACGTTTATGGTCTTCTATCCCTGATGGTCTTTCATCGTTTTTGAGTTAGTCACAGTTATCTTAATTTACCAAAATACCTAAAATAAGTAAGCTTAACCAAATGATAAAAATACTTTTAGATTATAGAGCATTACGAATGATTTATAGCTAGCCAATCAAAAGTATTCATATAGTTCAATTCAACTCATAACACATTACTGTGTAGGATATTAGTTGTTCTATTCACTGTATGAATAGACAGAGATGTGGCTTGACAATCACAGGTAATTATTCATCAGCCTCCTTTCTAATTTATTTACTGTTATCACATACTATAACTGTGCACTTTATTTATATGTAACCTAAAATATTATTGAGTGAGTCAAAGTAAAAATGTGGATACTGACAAAACCATCACAATTTGAGTTGGATCACGTGAATACATATACTGATCGTTAGAAAATGTGTACAATGAAGAACGAAGCGTCCAAGTTCATAACCCTTATTTCGAACTCTGTGAAATAAATCAAATTCAAATCAAGTCTATATTTTAATATGCCGTCTATTATCTTAGTCTTTTCTTGTTAATTAAACAAAGGATGTGTAAAAGATAAGTTCTTTAAGTGTATCCTAAACGTTTTTGCTATAGAAAAATGTATCTAACTGAGATGATTAGGGTAAAAGATTGTCTAACTACAAAAGTTTGATGATCAAATCATAAACTCACATTAAATTCATAAACCCATTATTTATGCATCAACGTAAAGTAGTGAGTAACATATTCTTTAAATACAATACTTCAGTATAACTGCTTCAATATATATAAACTAGTAGAATAAAATCCTTTGCATATGAACTAAAAAATGTACTTACAATTTTTTGATTGAGATCATGAACCGATTGATGTTAGACCACCACAATTGAAAACCTGGAAGCACTGGACGGCCGTTTCGTCCTATCGTGGGACTCCCCAGCGGTGCGCATCCACAATCCCGCCCGCGGGATTTGAACCCAGGGCCTTCGGTCTCGCGCGCGAACGCTTAACCTACTGGACCACTGAGCCGGCATCCAATGGTGATAGTTTCTAACATCAACCAATCCACGAAATTGCGCGACCAACTTCCATTGTACTGAGGTAGATACCTGTCTCTACCCGACAAGGATTAGCTCCATTGGTCACGGCTTCTCACTAGAACTCCGAGAATTCCCTCACGAAGCTAGTCACTAGTGAGCACATGTTGATTACAATTGATTGATCACTGAGTAGTGACCTATTTTATGTTTGTCTAATCTTTTAGTGCTGGTTAAATTGCAACATTATCAACCACCTAATGTGTCAACATAATGCATGCGAGATCTGATCGCTTAGACTAGTGGTCATACTGTAACTTAGTCAATACAAGTTGTTCAGCATTAAAAGACTAGACAAAAATGAAAATGGTCACTACTCAGTGATCGATCGATTGTAACAAAGGTTCTAAAGAGTCTGGGAATGCGAACTAGACAAATATTTGAAGTCAAATTTATCAAGTCAAAGTGGAATGAAAAGTTCATACTCTTCATTTTTATTAACAAGTCGATTGAAGGTTAACTGCTGAAACGTAATTAATCTTAAATGATTTTGCTTTTTGGATATTAACAGGAAAGCACTAGTAATGCTTACTAATCTTTTCGAATGCACTCAATATTTTCACTTCATTCTCTTTGTTCAATCAAACTTTGATTATCATTTTGACCTTAATTGATTAGATTTGGTACTTGCGTAACCAAATGCTTAGATTTTCACTTTTCTGTGTGTCCAATATACTTGTCCTTGCACACTGTTGAGTAAAGTATTTTATATAGTGGAACTAGCATCACTACATGCAATTTATTACCTAGTTCTGCCCTCAGTTTTTAATTAATCTTCTTAGTAAATTGATCCTAGTTTAAAATAATTAACTAATTTTGAAGTAATCATCTGGAGGATGACTTACTTTATTAAACCTTACTTCTACGGCAGAATAGTTCTCACGTTTGTTTACACAAAGCAACAGTGTAAAACATTTGTTGCTCAAATAATTTACTTTGATCTTTTCATCTAATGTTTCAAAGTGAGGAGTAAAAAATATCAGCTAAATTAGATCAAACTACTTATACCTATCCTATCTGTTCAGGTATCTCGTTACCAAATACAATTACCACTTAACTGAAATTTTATAATTTATGGAAAAACGTCTTTACATATAATCCTTATTTGTTGTTAGACCTAATAGTCTATCAAACTACTGTGATTGTGTGTGTGTATTTAAGTTTACTCACTGTCATTTCAAATTATTTCTTTATTCGCCATAATTGTCTGTAAATTTGTACTGTCAAACGTCTTCACTCTGGTACATTATACTCAAATAATTCCAATAGAATAGCATACTACACTTCATTATTTTTAATCGGTTGGACTATGCTACTAAAAGTTAAGTAATCCACGGTAATCGAGTAGTTCTACTGAGGATATTTTGCGCTAACGAACCAAATAACAAGATGTGGTTACAAGTTTCAGTACATCTAATAATAATCTCAAAGTAACAGGTCTTTCACTGAATAATTCTACTGAATATTTAACAGAAAGAATATGCGTGCCCTAACAGATTACTCAGTGGTAACCAATCCTAAATTGTCTAGTCCCGAATGCTAATCAAATCCTAATAATCAAATCGCCACTTGGCTAAATGACTCTAATCAAGGTCAAGGCTCACCTAATGTTAGATGGCTGTTACCAAGAAGTTTGGAATTTCAGCTTTCTAATGGTTCTTACTCTCTATCAAAGCCAATTAACAACCTTGAGAGATTCTAACATCTGTCATCCAGTATCAGGGCCTAAGATGCAACTGATTCTTTCGTATCAGTGCCGATGTTTCGTCAGAATCCAAAATACTACGTATTATGAAACTTTTTAAAATAAATAAAGTCGTCTTTACTTCCATTTAACTTGCGCTGATACAAACAGCCTTGAAGAAATAATTTTTCCCGGATAGTGATTAGTTTGGTTTATTTGTTGTAAAGCGGAAACAAAATCAAGACACAAAGGTTTATTTTTGAGAACACAATGAAAACTCTGAAGTAAGGGTCAATAAAAGTCTTCAAATGGTTATGATATGCTCAGTAGTTTGGACATTCAAATTATAATGATTGGGTTACAAGTTTCAATCACGGTTTCTAAACCATAATGTGTGAATTAACATTATAGTTTATTTAGGCGTCTAGTACTCAAAAGTTCTTGCAGTTATCAAGACAAATTTGATTGTTAATGCTGTCACACGCCCTTATTAAAATTTTTCCTTGGATATATTTAATAAAATCACGTTATATAACAAGTTGAATTGTAAAGTCGGCAATAACAATAACATTTCCCAGTTTGAACGGTAACTTCAAATATCAGACTTTTAATGGAGATTTCTTAAAGAAACTCCGTTACAGAAAAGGCAAAAAATACATGCGATTAATACTTTTTAGCTTTACTAACGTATATTATTAATAAACATACATGAAACTTATGCAATTACCATATGAATTTTAATGGATGGGGTACTAATACATCATTCTTACATATCTTTACTGGAAGCAATAAAACTAGAATCTTATTGATACTTTATTAATTACAAACAGTGATCGTCAGCCAAAAGTTCAAAACAGATTCTCAAAGACTAGTCGCTTGATTTTTTTGAGCTTTTAAATGATTTTGTGAAACAGTCTTGAAAACATCAATCGGAATCCAATACGTCGATTTATCTTCTTCTTGAATGTATGGTGACCGAATCACAGGGCTCTTCGACTTAACATCACAGTCTTCACTTGATTTCAAAGTTCCATTCTCTTCCAATTTTGGACCGCCATTTATGCGTCTTCTTCTTGAAAGTTTGTAAATATCGTTCAACAAATCTATACTGATGTTTCTAGACTCCTCACTGTCTACAAACCATTTTGGTGGTATTGATGGAAATTTGTCGAGTATTTTCACTGCCTAAAATGTATTTATTAGGGTGATGAATTCAATGAATCAATACCTCCTTAATTTTATCAACTTCGTACGTCTCCTTTAGAACGCTAACAATAATATCACTATTCATCTTAATCAGTAAAACAAGTCATTGATTAGTTTACTACAATGTAGCTTGTATCCTTATGAAAAAAAGCCTGATCGATTATGCAAAAATTTCTAATCAAAAATGTGTTCGTACAAAAACTAATCTAGTAAGTGCGTTATGTAAAATAATAGCAGTAATTTGAATTGTTTCCAATATTTTTTCCACTTTTCATAAAATGACGTTCCTGATGTTTTTCATAATAAATCCAATAATCTTGAGCAATAGACGACAATCAAATAGCCTGTTCTCTTTTCATAAACTTTTTCAAAATTATTTTACCTGAAAGATAAAGTGATATGATGTAAATAAATCATGTTCGAAATTTCGTTTGAGTGTTTTAAATATGATAACTGATTTATATAACATGTAAGATACGTTAAAGTTCTCTTGATGATTTAAAACAAGGTATCCCACCATCCTACCATCAACTAATGATTCCAAATGCTCACCAGATATGCTACATATTTGGACCACTTACTGCATAGTTTAAACTAAACTTACAGGTATAAAAAGTTTATTCACTGAGTAAAAGTTTTCTACAATAAACAATAGATGCAATACTAAAATGCATAGGCATTTTTATCCGTGCAAACCATCTGCTACTTAAATTTTGTTTTGGATCTGTATCCTGTCAGTTATGCCAAACACAGCAATGATGAAATAGTAACTGAAATACCAGTTCAAAAGTTAAGCTTTTCTAACCACTGCAAGTATTTTAGGTGATACATTAAAAAATTAACGCAAAACCCAACCCGAATATTGTTTGTTCATCAACTTTATGGCTTTTAGTAATAATATTTGGTAATTAGCAAACTTAGGATCTAAGGAAAGACAAAGGGTGAATGCATCTGGGCCACTGCATAGAATTTTGAGCCTTGTCACCCAAATCCTCTAGCCAGTGGTAACGACATCTATATGATGAGGTGTGAGCCTTTAAAACTAGTCTCAGTATCTCCCCTAAGTTTTCCAAGACATGCTTAAGGCCCAGCAATGTGAATTATTGTCTCTAAAACAAAGAAATTGAGAATAGAAACAGCTGCAAAATATACAGAATGTTCTATCTAGCTCGTAATGACGTGGATGTTGAGTTAATAATGATGTGGAGAACAAAGTTCAGTATCTTTTGGTTTCGGCAGATTTTAGAACAGTACTGACATCGGAGATTTTCTAAACTTGTAAAAAGTTTACTCATTACTCGTTTTTGTGTAGGCGGCAAGCCCTTGCTTTGAGGAAAATTCATTTCTCTTGGAAAGGGTTTGAAGAGTCGACGAAACTACGAACATCACCGATTAGATGTTAAATCTTTTGACACTTTCCTACTGAAGATACCTCTTAATATTAATAGGCGACTTAATCAGATTTCCGTATTTGGAAAAACAGGTGAGTTCAAAAACCAGTGACGAACGGTATCTCGGTGGAATATATGCTTCCCACCGAAACCCAATGATATGTGAACAAATATCCAGCTTCTTAAATATACAACAACCAACAACCTGTCAACCACTGATAATGATCCAACTAACTGGTTGGATTAATTATTGTGTAGTTGACAGTTTTTATATCACAAGTAGTCTGTATACCCAATACCCCAATTTCGGAGAAACGTGTTTTCGTTTCGGATAAATTTTGGGAAGGCCGCAGTTGAAAACTTTGGGGAATTTCGAGGAGACGGCACAAAAACCCCGGAATTTCCCCAGCTTTGAGGAAAATCTTCAAAATGTTCGGGTGTGAACAAAGAAAGTCAAGGTTCAAGCTGAATAATCAGAGGAAAAAAATCAAAAATGCCTGGAAGACTCGCAAAGACAGAGGAAAAGATGCAAAGAAGGAAGTATGAAACAACTAGATGACACAACGAGGAAGCTAACAAGGAAATATAGTAAACCAGAGAGACCGTTCAATGACAAGAAGGCAAGCTTATCACTGGAATTCAAAACCAGGAACAGATGGATGGAACAACTTGAAGATCTCTTCAGTAGACCAGCTTCATTGAATCCAACAGATATCAAAGCAGTACCTACAGACCCTCCTATTGATGCCACTGCACCAATGTCGAAGAAATCAGGATGGTCATCTGACAAATCAATAGTGGGAAAGCAACAGGGCCTGAAGATATACTAGTTGAAGCACTCAAGTCAGACATGGAAGAAACCGCAAACATGCCCCACGTTCTATTAAGGAAGACTTGCGAGAAAGAGCAAGTGTAAACGGACTGGAATGAAGGATACATCTTCAAGATACCAAATAAAGGAAATCTGATCATGTGAGAATTACAAAGACATCACACTACTCCCAATACCATGGAAAGTTTTTAACTGAGTACAGCTGAACTGGATGAGAGACTCAGTAGACGCCCAATTTCGATATCGACTTGCTGGATTCCAAAAGGATCGATCGTGCAAGGACCAAATCTCCACCCTACGGATCATCGTTGAACAATCAATTGAGTGTAACTCATCACTATAAATCAACCTCCTTGATTATGGAAAAGCATTTGACAGTGTCGATAGAAAAACATCATGGAAACTTCTTCGAGGATCTTCAACGTCATCTGGAATTCATTAGGCGGACTACACTGAAACGTGGTGCATGGAGGACAGCTGACAGATGTATTCAAAGTGGGGACTGTAGTCAAACAAGGCTGCATGCTCTCCCCCTTTCTCTTTCTTCTGGTGGTTGACTGGATTATGAAGACCACCTCCACTTCTGAAAGGAAGCACGGAATACAATGGATAGGTCGAAATCAATTGGAAGATTTGAACTTCTCAGATGACTTGGTTCTTCTATCCAATACTCACGGACAAATGCAGATGAAGACAAAAAGTGCAGCAGGAGCCTCTGCATAAGTGGGTCTCAACACACACAAGGGAAAAAGCAAGATTCTCAAGTACAACGAAGAGAACCTCAATTCAATCACATTTGATGGAGAATTTCTGGAAGACGTGGAAAGATTCACGTATCTGGGTATCATCATCGATGAACGTGGAGGATCTGATGCAGACATAGAGGCAAGGATTGTCAAAACAAGGACAGAATTCTCACAATTCAAAAGCATGTGGAACTCAGAGCAACTGTCAACCGATATCAAAGTCATAATCTTCAATACGAATATCAAGACAGTTATACTGTACGAAGCTGGAACTTGGATAACTATTACAAGTATAATCAAAAATGTACAAGTATTTATAAACAATTATCTACGCAAGGTACTCAGTCTCTGCTGCTTAGATAATATTAACGACAGCCCGCTATGGGAGAGAACGAACCAGGTTGCGGATGAGGAGGAAATTAGGAAGAGACGCTTGAGGTGGATAGAATGTGCATCACGCAAATCGACAAACTGTGTCGCAGGTCAAGTGCTAACTTGATATCCTGAATAGGAAATGAAAAGTGGGAAACCAAGGAACACTCTGTGACCGTTAAGAATTTGTGAATAAATTGCGGAAAAGAAAACAGTAAGTAGTAAAATATAGAGATGAACTTGGGTCCGAAATAATGAAGATCAAACTAAAGTAAATATCTAGAACAAAAAGACGCTAAATTCGAAAGGGTTTACTGCTAATGAATGTTAATACTTAAATATCTACTCTTCACCATCCATATACTAGTTGAAAACACCTTAGTCTTAGAGTAGGCGGTTGTTTTCGCATGCTCAGCAAACCTGGGATTACAAACAGCAGTCAGAGAAGCTGCTAGTATAGGGGAGTCACATCAATATCACTGTTCGGTTCCCATATTATATTGAATTATAATGGACAGCAGATAAGCAAAACTCTCCTACTCTGAGAACTCAATATTTTAAAGTCATATCGCTAACTACTCCATCTCAACTTTCAAATATTAGGCTCGTTATAGTTGATAAGTTTGTTAAAATTGTGCTCTACTCTGGGCTATGAGCTGTACGCCTTGCTAACATTTCATTTCTATGCTAGTCCCATGTTATTAGCAAAAGAAACAGCTAAAGCTTCTTCATTATAAGTCAAGTGTTTATGTGACATCTTACATGAAATAAAGTGGACCAATAGAGTAAAGTAAGAGATTCTAAACAAGACGTGATAAGTTATTTGGGCAGCGTAAAGATGGTCAGGAGAAATTTTGAGGTCTTCTAACTAGAAATAAGGTAACAGGTAATAAGACAAAATCGTGATGAACTCGAAATGTGTGGTGTGAAACCTATTTAAATCTCATGTAACATGCAAAAGCTGGGGGTTGTATATCCTTCTAGTGATCAGAAACTGTGTGATTTACTGAGCAGAACTGGAATTACATGATACTGTATTGTCCATACATGGAACAAAAGTAGTTATCAGAACCATTTTTATGGTCGCTCGCTTTCCTTATTATGTTTTTAATCTATTGAAAATACGTTTAAGGAATCAAATAGTCCTTCTAGCCCTTCTAATTATTTGCAAATGTTTTTCAATACAATGAAAAATGTCAGTGGATGACAAAGTTTCCTGTCTCTCTGAAATTTCTATGTATAAGGTATGTGAAAACGAAACAAGGTACTGAAAGTTTCGGAAAATTAAAATGAGATATATCTTTGGGTCTAAGAAAAAAGCAAGACTTCCCTAGTCAGTTCTGATTCATGTCGACAACAAACCTTCATGAAGGATTACAGAACATTAGTTGGACTCACAAAGACTGTTAAGAGATCATGTACTACTGTGAGATCGCCAGAACACTGCGAAGGACCACCACTTCTAACCGGAGGATAACATAAGTCTACCGTCTATGAAAAACCTAAACGCTAATTCTAATCAGATAATTCGATCTACCAGAACAAGTTCAAAAGCTTATAGAAACCTTCCTATTGCAAATTAGTTGGACAATGGTTATTGTCTCCTTCAAACGACTCACTTGGTACCTGCGACACTTCTGGTCGTTCTTCACCAATTTACCGTCTTTAATGTAGTGAGCAAATGAGGGTTACTATCCCAAATTCATGAAATCAGAAAGCCGATACACTATGAATATCTTAGTACGATGGG